ATCAAATGGAAGCAGTGCTGCATATGTGAGGCAGCCTTCCCAGGCTTGGCAAATGTCAAGTTGCGCACAGATGCATCCTGCCTTCTGTCTCCAACTCCACTAGGTCCTGGGGCTGCGAGTTGGACAGACAGGTGGAGTCCCCTACCCACTGAGGCAGCCATGACTCCAAAGAGGGGAATGGATCAGGAACCTTAGTGCAGAGCAGGGAGAAGCTCCAAAAGTTAGGAGGACTCTGACTACTCGACTTGGGGGGTAAGTCCCAAGCGACTCCTATAACAAAACAGAGATGGAAGGGCCACAATTCCACACACACCCCAATCTTAAAATGGGTCCTGAACATCCTAGGGAAAGAAGCCGTGCTCCTAGTCAGCCCTCTCTCTCCCAAGCCAACCAGGAGGGTTCTGACAAGTCCCCTACCTCATCCTAGAAGGAATGGGACCATCAGGAGAGGATTCTAAGATAGACCACTCAAGAGGGCTCCAGACCCTAAGGAAGCCAAGCTGCAGAAGTCCTCACAAAGTGGCTGCAGATCTTCTATGCTCCCAAAAGCACTCAAACAAAGGTTTTGTTTTTTTAAATCTAAAAATACCAAAAATGGAAAGAAAAAGCACCAAAAAAATCAAGGAGATATGAGTCCTCTGACTACTCCCCTTCCTTCCGTGAGGAAGCTGAGCTGTCTGGCTTTCAAACCTGAGCAGGCGCCTATAAGTAAGCATCAGAGTAAATTTTATCCCCTCAAATTCTCCCATGAGATTGCAATACCCGCTTCACTTCTCCTCAGAAGAAGCGATTAGGGATGTATGGAACAAGCCTAGGGTGAGCATTGATGTATCCCCTGAATACCAGACATTCTAGTATTTCAGGAATGGTATGGGGCTGTCCCCACCAACAGGACCTCACATGCACTTGCACATCCAAGATAGTCCTGGAGTCTCCAGGAATTTAAGACTTTTAACTAAAGATTATGTCATGTGATGAAACCTCCAGGAATATGTCCAACCAAAATTGGCAACCCTGGGTGCATGCAAGGTTATGCCAGTGGGGGAAGGGCACTCTTCAAAATGGCATCCCCAGTCCACAATACTAGACAAAACCACATCTATTTTTTTTCAAAGTGCCAGACAGAGGACAAAAACAGAAAAAAAGGACTGTCTGGCTTAAAACCAGACAAATGGGCTGCTTAAGCCTGGTGATACATTTGCCCTTAACAAGAGCAACCTCGGGCTCTACAGCATTCAAGAACCAAAGAGCTCTATTGCTGAGACACCAAAGGTTGATGCCGCTGTAGCGTCCCTCATCAAGGATATGATCATTCCCTCAGAAGGGGAGTTCTACCCTAAGAAACCCACAGATGGAAAGATGGAGGCCACTCTCAAAAAGGGCTTTGAAGCCTCCTCCACAACCCTCTGAGCATCCCTCACAGCTACCTGCTTTGTGGGAGCATCTCTTTCCTGGCTGGAAGGTCTCAAATCCCTTAAGGATAGAGATCAGCTGACTTTGGCTCTACTTTGAAGAAAGTCTCTGTAAGCAGGGTCAGAATGAGCTCTCCTCTGACATCCAGTGATGAGCTAGGGAAGAGGACTTCAGGAACTAACCTTGTTTGCATAGACACACCCACTCTGCCTACGTGCACAGCATGATGGAGCTGCTTTGCCCAAAGGATCACTTTTGATGGGTGTTGGATTCCAAGTCACTTTGTTATTGGGTGCAGGGGTAATAAAGTATTATCACTATGTGAATCAAGGGGAGCAAAACTGTGCTTGGCATGCCCTGATTGAGGGGTTCACCCTCAACTGAACTGCACTTGCTGAGCAATGAGGTAGGAGTGCCGAAGCCCAGTGGAAATGAGAGAGAGGATGGGGACTGGTGTTTCTGCCTGGTGGTGTGGACCCTGCCTAAGGTTTGTAAACACCATTTGATTCTCCCCCTCTCCACTGAGAGGCTTCTTGTGGATCACTAGAGCTGAAATCACTGATAACCAAGCCTAAGTGTTAGACCTGTACTGACACTAGGTCTCTGGTGAAAGAAAGAGACTACCCAGTCTGCACTAGCAGTGAGGCTCCCCCACTAACAGCTACAATCACTGAGAGCTGTGTTAAGTGGTGGGCAATGTTCCCTCTAATTTTTTCCATCCATGTGAGGAATTAATTTTGTTATGTGCACCAAATTATAAAGGTGATGTGTGGCTGTGCACCACCATAGAAACAAAAAACCTAGATATAATATATATTTTTAAAAACTTACCATAGGGATAATTACCCCAGCCTGGACAGGTTAGGCATTTTAGAACTCACTACTCAAAGAATTAAATTTAAGCATAAAACAGAAATAAAAATTGTGACATGCATAGACCAGTCAAACTCAAATAACAGCACTTTGAATGAATAAAATTACAGAGAATATATGTGCATTGCAGGAAGTATCAAGAAGTAACAACAACAGGAACTCTACAGGTATGTGCTGGAAGGTGTGTGTGTGTGTGTGTGTGTGTGTGTGTGAGAGAGAGAGACACCCTGGATCAAAGCCCAGGGGAGAGCGCGGTCCCAAACTCCCCTATCCACTCTCAAAAGATGGACTATCAACAGAAGTCTTTACCTCAGTAGAGAGACTAGCGGGGAAGACCCTGATTGTTCAAGTTCTGAGCCCCCCAAAGTCCCCATACTAAAGTAAAAGCCCCGAAGCCTTTGGGGAAGCTGAAAAACAGGACTCTAACAGAAAAGGGGCAATCACCTCCTGCACCCCTGCAATCCCCTAGGTGGCACTGGTGATGAGCATTCCCCTTTTATACACCTTAGAGGTCTGAAAATCTATCTCAAGCATACAGACTCCATAAGAAGATCAAGATCCCTATTCATGTCTTTCCACCCAAAATGCCAGGGACTCAGAGCTTCCAAGTCCTCCCTCACTAGTTGGATTAGACTATCATTGTGGAAAACTACAAATCATCAGAGACTCCTGTCCCAAAAGGGATGGAGATACACTCCAAGAGATCCTTAGTAACCTCATGAAATGAGCAAGTGTCTCCACTTCACAAATTTGCAAAGCGGTCTACAGTTAAAACCCTCATTAATCACTACAGACAGGACTTTCTATCTTCTGCAGAGGCCTCCTTTGGCAGGAAGGTGTTGCAGGCAATGGCCTAGAAATAATATAAACTTTTGAGCGAGCTCGGGAAAAGGTGGCTATTTCTTTCCTACCAAACTTTTGTTTCATAACCTTCCTACATCTGTTCACAGCTTGCTATTTCCCAGACGTCCAGAATTGTGGGACATGCTGGGCTGCAGAATGGAAAATATTCTTAGTAATAATTTCCTTTCTGCTAGTAGCATATCCCACGATTCTATCCACCCTGCAGGGCTCATGAGTCGAGGTCAGATATTAAGTGGAATCATTACCATATGACCATCTTCCTTGGTCTCATGTGCACAGTTATTTCGTTATAGCTGGAATATTTGTTAATGATGAGATGCAAGTTTCACATCTTGGGAATAATTTATCTGGCAGCAAACTGGAGCAGAGGGGGCATAGCCAGACCATGCAGCTCCAAAACACTTATCTGCCACCACAAGCTTGAGGGAGAGGAGAGTAGCTCAGATGTCCAGAATTGTGGGAGACATTGCAAGCAGAAAAAACACTATTGGTAAGAAATTTTCCATTCCTAAATCACACAGGAAGTCTGACAGAGTCAAGAATAGAACCCAGATCTGTTGATTTGCAATCCAGTGGCTAGCAAGACCATCTTTTTATCATGACAACAGGAAATATGCAAGAACACATCTCAAAATCCCACAATACACATTACCATTACAATACATGTTACTGTCTAATTCCTACTATTTGCACAAACCCAAAATGGTCTTGCTGTCCCCCTGCCACAGCTTTGAGTCATTAGCTACTAAAGCACTTCAGAAGTTTCCTTAGCACAAGTGAAATTGGCAAAAAAAATTATACTAAGAAGAACAGAAGTCACTTTTAAGCAGTGCCGTATGGCATGTATTCTTCTTATGCAAGTGAAGCAGTTTTAATCTTACTGAATAAATACTAGAAATTAGCAAGGTTTTGCAAAAAACACCAAGTGCCTGGAAAATGAAGGCAAATCAAAATTTGCAAAGTGTGATTGAAACTTATCTATTGCAGTTATGCAATGATGTTTTTGCAAAAACAAACTTGTGTGAAACTCACTCACCCATGGCTACTTTCTGGAGCCTGTCATTCCCCTCAATTACAGCCTGATCCCAAGCCCATTGAAGTCTTCAGAAAACTTTCCAGTGATTTCAATGGCCTTTAGAGCAAGCCCATACACATGAGCTGTTCCACAGACCGTTCTCCATCTGACTTTAATAGCACTTTCTATTTTCAGGCTATCCTATTGACATGAAATATCCCTTTTCTGCTTTTCCTCACCATCCTCGAACAAAACTGAAATTTACTCATTTGTGTTATTTTCCACTGAGATATTGTCTTTAAAGCTGAATTCTTGATTCACAATGTATTTGGTTCCTCTTTTTGTACTGATGCCCATGTTTTCTTTGTCCATAAAAGATGTTATAAAATATTAAAAAATTATTTTGAAAGAGAACAAAGATACAGCCATGTGTTACTGCTTTGTTTCCCATTGTCTCCTTGTTCACGTCAAACCCACCTTAGTCTAACAGTTGGAGAGAATGTGCAAAGGTTTGTTAACTAGATTTCAAATCTTAGCCCAACTGCTTTGTAGCAGTTCTACCAAGAGCATCTTCAGAAGAAAGTCCACATGGATATAAAAATATCAGTGATAGATTGTCTTGGTGAATCTAGTGCTCCAAAAAAAATGTAACTTCACCTCTTAAGTATTTTTAGACACTGTTAGCGGCTGAAGAGTGAACTAGCAAAGTTTCATCAAACTTTTAGAAAGAATTGTATGCTCCCTTTCCTTTTTCATTTCTGTCTATTTCTTTATACTAAATACAAAATCACTAGGTTATGACTTTAAGGATCCTTTTCTCTCTCTCACCAGAGATGGCAAGCCTGTCAATCATTCCAACAACAGTAACCACAAGGGAGTGTTTGCAGCAGGATAGCAGATACAAGAAACGGCTCTTACTTTAGTTTACTTGGAATCGGCTCTAATATGCATGTCTGGAGAAAAATTATCTGTGTTTGGTAAGCCATGTTCTTTTTACTGTTTTTGTATCTACTGGACACAAAATCATCAGTGCTAAGTGTTTATATTATTTTGTATTAAAGTGCCTTAAAGATCTAAGATGTTAGCATTTAGATTATTAAAATGATGTTTCACTATTAATATTAGTCAAAGAAACAGAAGTTGATGTAGTTGCTGCTTTTTGTAAAGCTGAGTTTGATTTAAAGTTTGCAATAAATTTTATATGTTAAATGATTACATACATGATAGAACGTAATTACTAGTGTTTGTATTAGTAATTATTTTAGCAAGAAAGATTATGACATTCCCGAGATAAATTTGCTCTTCCTAATGCAATGACTTCTAATAAATTGAAAATTGAATGTTTACTAAATGGAACTCCAAAGAATTATACCACATAAAAATGCAGTTGGCACTTTCAAAATGGTGTATATATACTTGTATGGAGTAAATTGCTAAAGTTTTACAGTCATCAGGTTTTCAATAATATGCTGGTTGTTAGGAAATCTGTCAATCACTTTGCAACAGCCACAACATATAGCAGAATTTGAAAAAGGGTAACAGACAAAACATTTTAAACTTAGTTAGAATTAGTTCCAATCCTTGAAAATGTGTCCCAAAACTGTTTGCACTCGGAAATAAAACAGGAAGAGCAACTAGAAAGCAGAACATTCCTTGCTCTCCAGCCTTTTATGGAAGACTTCACATTACTTCTGTTACAGTGCCTCAGAGCTGCAATGCACAATAAACTGGTTTTATTGGAAGTGCATCTTTGCAATTTTATTTCCTGATGTAGATGATGTACTTATCTATTAGTCTTATGTTTAAGTTAATTTTATAGAATAAATATATGAATATTTGTAGATGATTTGTTCTTTAATAGCATTAAGAATTTGAAGCTAATATTTTTTTCTTTCAAATGCTCATTATGCATACAGTATTTAATTAAATGATTTATTTTACCCTGAGAGTATTGTGCTGACTCCTTAAACAAAGAGTCGGGTTAAATAATTTGATAATCTGGAAATACAAATCCTGTATCTGAGCTCTGCTTTCTCTCTATATATATTCACAGCATCATAGTGTGTCAAAACATAGAAGTGTGTCAAACACAATCTAAGAGCTGATCAGAGTGACTATGAAAAGGAGTTAAAGGTGTGCAAAAGGCAGTTGTCACTAACACTAACTTATTTTACACCATGTGAAAAACGAAGCAGATGGCACTAAAATGCCTTTAAACGTGGCCACAGTGTCATTAATTATCAAGCACAAGTATCCTTATCTCAACTCACTTCAATGGATATTTCTGCCTGTATAAGGATGATATGATATGACATGACCCTATTACTGAATACCTGCTTATATTCAAAATCATTGTCCTGAAATGAGAGTGTATCAGTAGTTTCCAAATTACTTGAAAAGGCGTGTACTTTAAGCAATCAAGCAGGAAAAAGTTGCAAAAGGGACTTCCTCTTTCAATTTCCACAGCAGATGGTGAATGTCAGTGAAGCAAAGCATTTACTGTCACCAGAAACAGATCAAATCTTCCTCACCGGATAGCAAAATGGCCACAAAACTACCCCTTCGAGAGGAATGTGAGAATTGGACAACTCTTCAAGTTGCAGATCTCCTAAGACAGGTACTGAACCTAGAGCTCAGACTGAAGACAGTACAGTATATCATACTCATTTCAGTTCAGCTAGCAAAATAGGTTGCTGGACTTATCTACTCTTTGTGTGCAGCGTTGCAGCTGTGTTGGTCCCGGGATATTAGAGACACAATATATTACCTCACCCACTATATCTACTCTTTATAATATGTTTGATTACTCCCTCCTGGATATAAACATAGATTCTAAAATGTGTTTAAAGCTGTTTAGTCAGCAATTGTGACTATCAAGGACTTATGTGTATTGATGTTCTGTAAGATTCTCTGTGTTCTCTCAGTTTTTATTGAAATTCAGTCCATGACAGAAGTTGCTTGTTAAGATAAAAGTATCCTGCACAAGACAAAGAACCACAATAATGTGTGCACACAGGGCTATATTGAGAAATATTTACACACACAAAAAATGCCACCTTTTATTTCCTTCTGGCACTAAGTAACAATTTTATTGGAAGTATGTGTGTATTATTTTAGAGCAAGAGATCACTACTAAGATTCTCAGGATTTCAATATGAATTTGCTCATCACCTTTTCTTTTCAATGACTATAGACCTACTGTAGTTTCTAAATGCTCCCTTAAAGTTAAATCCTTGAGTTCTTTTATCATTCTGTTGCACCTTTCCTATTTCTGTAATATCCTTTTTATTATAATAATGTAACCTGAAGTGCACACAGTATTCTGAACTTGTCCTCAGTAATCCCTAGCTGAATAGTTTCCGCTAAGATATATTCAAGTGCTTCTTTTTACACATGCCAGACTTTTTTCCCTTGCAACTGTTGAATATTGTGGCTCATGCTTTAGGGTTTTACCTGCCATTCATCTAGGCGTTTGAGCCCATTGTTTCACAGAATTTGACTATATTGAAGTATATCCTCTTTGTTTCCCAAAAGTGTAATTCTTTGTTGTTCTACATATGGCCCTCATCTGCCCTGTGCTTATAACCTATCCAAATTCTAAATATTATGGCCAGAGTCACCATCTCCCTTCATTGATTACTCTCCTGGATTTGTCTTAATTGTGAGAATTACTGTACTGGACTAGACTCTTGAGTTCCCTTCCAGCTCTACATTTCTATAGTTACCTGTCCTCTGATATTAACAAACACTTCAGCAATAATTTTTCAGATAGGGTCAGGTTATGAATCCTTTACTCCCATTGGTGGGCCCTTACTCATGTGAGTAAGGAATTCAAAACCTGGGCCATAAAGTCTCTCTCTTAATTGATATCAGAGTGCTTTAAAAATAAACACACATACTACGAATAGAGATTACTTTCCCCAACGCTGGTATGACATACACCACCTATTTAACAATATTCACTAACCCTACACAAGAATTTAGGACAGGGCATTAATAGCAGCACCAAAATCACACAGAAACTACAGGGAAATTTAGATAGGCAAGATGTTTGCATTTGGTTTGTATTAGGGCTGTCAAGCAATTAAAAAAATGAATTGTGATTAATCACACTGCAAAACAATAATAGAATTCCATTTATTTAAATATTTTCTACATTTTCAAATATATTGATTTCAATTCTAACAGAATACAAAGTGAACAGTGCTCACTTTATATTTATTTTTTATTACAAATATTTGCATTGTGAAAAACAATAGTTTTTTTCAATTCATCAAATATAAGTACTGTAGTGCAATCTCTATCATGAAAGTTGAACTTACAAATGCAGAATTATGTACAAGAAAATAACTCCATTCAAAAATAAACAATGTAAAAATGTAGCGCCTACAAGTCCACTCAGTCCTATTTCTTGTTCAGCCAATTGCTCAGACAAATAAGTTTGTTTACATTTGTAGGAGACAACACTGCCCGCTTCTTGTTCACAATGCCCCTGAAAGTGAAAACAGGCGTTCTCATATCACTGTTGTAGCTGGCGTCACAAGATATTTACATGCCATATGTGCTAAAGATTCATATATCCCTTCATGCTTCATCCACCATTCCAGAGGACATGTCCATGCTGATGATGCGTTCTGCTCGATAACAATCCAAAGCAGTATGGACCGAAGCATGTTCATTTTTATCATCTGAGTCAGATTCCACCAGCAGAAGCTTGATTTTCTTTTTTTGGTGGTTCGGGTTCTGTAGTTTCCACATAAGAACATAAGAATGGCCGTACCAGGTCAGACCAAAGGTCCATCTAGCCCAGTATCCTGTCTACAGACAGTGGCCAATGCCAGGTGCCCCAGAGGGAGTGGATCTAACAGGCAAT